AAAGCTTATGAAAAGGAAACACACATATGTAATATTACAAAACTAAAGGAGGCTTGTGTTTGAACATTACAACATGGATTTACTGACATCGCTAAAATAGAGTACCTGTGAGAGCAACAGGTGAGTACCACCGAATCCATTTTTATAATCTCTTTAACGTATATTTGGCAGTTTTTCCTTTTTATTAAATCGATTTTATTTGAATGAGAAAAATGTGAGAAAGGTAGGACACAACTCCATATAATACATCGAATTTACAGTCGCAAAATACTCTGTGTATTTTTTGGAAATACTTCAGCTCATCTGCTGGCCAAGCCGTTAAATTTTTATAAAGTAGGGTGCAACTTGGGAACGGAAAAGGAGGAGGAAGTGTCAGAATACACTAAAGTCCAAAACCAGACGTTTTAGTTTTTAAAGTCTTATTTCTGTTGGATTAGGTTTAGTATTCATGTCAAAGTTTATCCAGATGTTGCAACATAATGCACTTTACCCTCTACACACCGATTTCTCTGCTCGGTCCAGCTGTTAGCCCCCTCTGTCAGCCCACCTGCCTATCTGCTGACACTTCCAGTCAGATAAAGCCAGTGTGTCCATTAATCACATGTTTAGTTTAGTTTATCAGTGACGCACCATTGCCGTTATACAGCTTCTACAAACTGTCTCTACCAGAATCGTGAGTAAGTGCAGGATAGCACTGGGTTGGCCTCGGTTCACAATCCAGGCTGTTTGGACATGAGAGCACCAGGCTCCAGTTACTACACAGGATCATATTTAGCCAGGAGACAGAGCCGGGGGGAAACACTGACTGTTCTGGGTTACAACAGGAGCTCAGTGTGTCTGGTGGACGTATATCATCAGGCTTTGGTCTTTACGTTTGCCATGTGTTCTGACCACAGTGAGCGCTCCAGCAGGCGACTGTGAAGTGATAGTGAAAGATGGAGGTTATCAGATGTAAATAGAGCGTGTGGGTTTCCTCTCATGAAGTGTTCGGGTGTATTGTCATTTGGTTGATTGTCTTTAGGCTTATAACCCCCCCCCCCCAGAGTCTCAGGCGGGCAGCCAAGTGTATGTGTTTAAAGTGTGTGTGTGTATTTGTGATTTTTGTGCATCACAGTCGGAGAGTAAGTATTTCCAGATGTGATGGACGTGAAGACAGACAGAAAATGAGACAGCAGCAAAAAACTGACTCAGACTGACTCACTTTGTACTAATATAGTTCTGACGTTCCACTGTTTATTGATTCCCAATCCTTTTATTAACCTCAACAGTTTCATACTTCTTTTGTACGCTTATGTACATGTGGAAGGATGACATCAAGGATCTGAAAGTAAAACTGCTATTGTGCATGACAGGACCAGGAAGGCATCTGCTGTCTCTATATTTAATCCTAATCATATTTCTAATCATAAAATCAAATATTTCCTTTAGGATTAGTTTCAGGATCTTAACTCCACCCATAATATTATCTTTAAAACCACGTTTGAACTATTAAATGATTTAAAACCCAACACTAAACTAACGGGCACAGGTATTAAACTGTAAGACAAAGACAAGTTTTAAAAAAACAAATCCAATAATCAAAACACAGAGAAGCACTATGAGAGAAGGAAATGCAAAGAACGCACAACACAAAGTGGAGGAGAAACTAAAGTAAATATCTGCAGAAGTGTAGAAAAGCCTAAATACACACTGAGGGGAAAACATTTAGACGCAGGTGAGTCACACTGAGACAGGTGCAGGTCGTCACAGTGGTGGAGAAGCATGAAGGCAGGAAGTTTGAAACAAGGGAAAAAATTACTACAAAATATAAATGAAAGTGAAAACATGAAACTGCTAAAAACGATAACTTGATCTCAGGTCAGAGCACGAGACGTGACTGAACCAATCGGAACATAGCTATGCAAGTTGGGCCGAACTCTGGAGGATGATTTTCCTCATATTTTCTTCCTTTTTTGAAAAAACTGAAAACACGTACACTCAGTATTGGTCTGTTATGTCTCTTAATGCTATATTTCAATATTAACGTAAATGTGACATGGACACTTGGCCTATCTTCACATGCATGAGACACACCCACACATTGTCCCTCATCATCAAGTCCCATTGAGGACAGACAGCTATGCCTGGAATGTCAGTTCACCTTAATGGAACACACATGAATACACACCTGTGAAACAAATACACTCTTGAAAGAACACACTCTCCTGCTTGCATGCACTGCTGGACAACTACAATCATGCACACACACACACACACAATGGAGTGTGAGTGTGTGGGTGTGTGTGTGTGTTTGTGCATGTGTGTGCAGGAGAATAGCATCACATATGAGACATTCCTGTACTCGAGTACTGTTTTCCTGAGGCAGTAACAGGATATCCTCCCCCTCTGTACTGTCCTGCTGCTGGACACTCTCACACATTCCAACACTCACACACATGCAATATACACACCGGGTCAAATATAAGAGGACAGAAGACCGTGTGTGTGTCCTCACTTTGTCACTTCATGTCATGAACACAGGCTTCATATAGAAATGGATGTGCAGCCAATGCACAGGCCCCTGAAAACTGTATTCTCTCAAATCACCAGTAGGGGTCAACTGTATTGGTTGCTAAAATAAGTGTTTCTGTTGAAATCTGAGAAAATGACTCTTAGCCAGTTTCAATACTTGTTGTTCTATATCTATACTCATATTGTGATTAAACAAAGAACGGTATATGCTGAAATTAAAAGGTGATAATGTTCCGTGTGGCTATTTGTATTATTACACAGACCCACAAAACCACTAGGTGTAGACGTCTGACTAGCCCTGCTATCTATTATTAGTTTAGTCGTCTGTGTTCATGCCCCTTTTTCATTTCCTCTCTAGCCTCAGAGAAAAAAATACAGTGTTTTTGGTTTTTACTCAAACAAACTGCAAACACAGGCTGGAATGCAGCACATCTGCAGTGAAGAGAAACTGACACAGATCAAATCCCTTATACAAGAATCTACAGTGACACAGCAACAAGGGAGATAATGTTTTGCGTATAAAATGTCATCGATTTTAACTTTGAAAAATGAGGAATTTGCATGTGACTGAGCCAGATGGATCAGCAAAACCCCCGAGGGGATATCTTAGGTTTTTTCTTTCTCACATGAGGAAAGGAGGATGAGAGAGCTCTGAAGAAGAGTGGAGGAGAGTGTAGCCTCAGTATGTGAGAGACAAGAAGGATTTTGTGAGGACGCAGGGCGTCATAATCCACCATGTGACTTCGCTGACCACTGTTCCCTCACTGGAACACTCCCAGAGCGGAGGGAGGAAGGAAAAGATGCACAAAGAGCAGAGAGGGGCTCAGCAGAAGAGGGGATGAGAAACCAAAAGATAGAAGAGAAAGAGCGGTAGACAAGGAAATGAAAACGATCTAGATTTCATGATAAATTACTCAAACTAACTAAAATCTGCTTTTCGAACTTGCACACATTGTTCGTCTACAGTTCAGATCACTAGAAATACCATTTAAAACACTCTGACCTTTAAAGTGTAAGAGGATGTAAAAAGTCAAGACTTCCTCCTCATGGCTCCGTGTGTGTGTTTAACTGAACACTGATCTTATTCACTCAAGTGACCCTCATTAAATCCCAACACACACTTGGCATGTAACAAAGAGTGGGGGCCAACAGCTCCTCATGGAAGTAAACACACCCTCAGAGCGGAGGTGTAATAAGCACAAGGCAGTAAAACAGCCAGAGGAGCGTTTGTTTCGTGGCTGCACACAGAAACAGAGAAGTCAATAAAAGACAGGAGCGTGCACATGAAGCTTCTGGCTAACAATGTGTTGGATCTCACAAAGAAGACAGGGTCACAGGTTTGATCCCTGCAGGCCAGCGTGTTTGACATGACGCTGTATTATGTCTTTGATAAATCACACAGTTGATAAAAAATGTGTTAATCACAAAAAGAGCCCAAGCTATTTTAGATTTGGCCAATAAAAATCCACAATATGAGCTTCTTATAGATATATCGTTATCTGCGTTGTTTGCCGAACCTTTATTTTACAGAATCAACTATGCAAAAGAAAAAGTAATTTTAGTTCTGTGAAACTTTTTTCTGATGATTTCTTCCAAAGTAGAACAAAAGCTGAACTAGATTTAGAGTCCATCAACAAAAACCCAGAGCAGAAACATACTGAGGAAACTGACCTGGACTGAGCGGACGCACTGACACAGAGGACGGGAGTAGAATCCAGAAGCGAGGCCGGAAAACTAAACACAGGTTAAACACATGAGGACAGGTGCTCATGAGGACAGGAAACAGGAAAAGGACAGGAAGTAACTAATGAGGAAAGTGGCTTCAAAATAAAACAGGAAATGAGACAACTTGAGGGATGACAAAAGGTCACGAGGATGGTGACACAAGATAATGAATAGAAAACACAAATCCAAACCCATAAACAAGAGTCCCTGAGAGTCTTTCAACAAACCAAAAACCAGATGCAAGGATTTGATTGATTGGTTAATTTTTATTATTGTGTCATGCACATTATGTTCCCAAAACAGGCTTACAAGACACATATATCTAGAAAAAGAAAAGCATTAATAAAAATACGGCACAAATAGACTGACTTATAATAACATGATTAAATTGAGATTGTAGAAAGGAAGAGCCTCTGTATTGTTGTACTGTGGTAAATCTTTGTTTGCAGTAGTTATAAAGCAGCAGCATGTGTATTGCTCCCCCAAGTGGTGGGAAAAGTCAGAACACACTCCTGCTGCAGAGGTTCAACTCAATACACTGTGCTACTGCAATGCAGACAGACATATGTGTGTGTGTGTGTGTGTGTTAGAGAGATTATTATTGTGGAGAACATCAGATTTGGATCTTTCTCTGCTAAAACTCGTTGTAAATTCTGGCTTTGAGCAAACATTGTTCATTTGATCACGAGTGTGCAGCCCCTCCGTTCTGTATCTCTAAACCACATGCCCTCTGTCTGTTTGTTTGTTTGTTTGTGTATTGACAGAAATCGTGGCGGGCAGCCGAGGATGTCAGTGACTCTACACCGAGAGAACGAGCCCTGAAGAGCGTCAGTTTCCAGGAATCGGTCAGCGTTATCACAGACACGCCCGCAAGCATGGAGCTGGAGAGCCAGCAGATGCAACATGGCTGCCTCAGCAGTCCCAATAACCGACCCCACGGTGAAGTCGAGACCCCTGACAGCGAGGTGGTTCAGGTACGCAGGCTCCCAGAATCCGATTCTTAGAAATCAACATTGCAAAATGTTTTCAGATTCATTTTGTGCTGAGTAGAGAAGTGAACTAGTTCTGTCAGAGTCTATGGTTTTTCAGAATGTTAAACCTCTTATGTTGCCTGATGAATATGCACGTACAGACATGTATGCTGTAGTAGCTCCCCCTACATTCATTGGGATAAAACAACACTTTTTGTTCATATCATTATAAAGTTATATGACTTATCATCCAAATAATATTTTACACCCTTCCTCTAACAGTAAGAGACCAATATTGTACAAATTCTGTCCACTACAGCAGCCTGATTATGTGCTGTGTCCACAGGAGATCCGTTACCTGGACCAGGTGTTAGACGCAGCCTCTGAAACACCCACTAATGGAACCTCGTCTCCGTCAGATCACAACAAACCAATCAGCATTGACGGAAGCTCCCCCTCTATCTGTGTGTCAGCATCCCCTCCTGTCAATCACCAGCCCGTCATCGTCGAGGGGCACAGACAGACAACGTTCATCCACGAGGACGACTCCCCCGTCAGAACCAACGGGCACATGCAGGGGGAGGAGTCGGGGCGCGGCAGGGCGAAGTTTGAGCTGAGGGCGTTTCAGGAGGAGAGGCGGCCCGCGAAACTCTTTACCCCCGGAGAGGAGCAGCAGGTCAGGGTGACGAGGACACGACCCTCAGAGGAGGTGAGCAGCAGATTAAGTATTCAGACCGCAGAGGATATATAAAGATGGACGAGGATAAGGAAACTGTTTTAAATTTTAAAATCAACAGACGTAATTTATGCATAACAAATACTTTAGAAAACTTGATACACACAGATATTTTCAGTTGAATCAAATGGGACTGTAGTTACAGAACTTTGACTCAATATGAAATAAGCATGGATGTTGTCTCCTTTCAAATTCAAACGAGCTGAAGAGCTCAAGCTAATCGCAGTTTATTGTTGGATACTCTGTGGTGATTCTTCTCCTGGTTTGTTGTCTCTGTGCAGGTTCACGAGTTGGAGCGTGAGCGTCAGGAATTGATCAAAGACCAGGCTGTGAAGAAGAATCCAGGCATCGCCCAGCGCTGGTGGAACCCTCCTCAAGAGGTGGTTTCCAGTTGATTACGTGATTTCATTTTGAATTCTGCTGCTTCCTGACAAACTGACTGACAAACAAACTGGTTCTTTGCTTTGGGTTTTTTTTTTCTTTCCAGGTTCCTTTGGAGGAGCAGCTGGATACAGAGCAGCTGGAGTCGCTCAAGAAATACCAGGAGAGGAAACAGCAGAGGCAGAATTATACTTACACATGCACACAGGTAACACACACACACACATAAACACACACATGCACTTTGACGATGAGGATTACTTTCTCGTTACATTTCTGTCTCCATCTCTATCTGCAGCCACAGGTGTCAGGCCCGCCCACAGTGGTGACCTTTGACCCCGAGCTGACCAGGAAGGAGGACGTTGTGGAGAAGCAGATTGACTTCTCCTCTGCCAGGAAGCAGTTTCTGCAAGGGGAGGTGACAAAGAAGGACATAGTTCCTCATATATATTCGGCCAAACCTTTCTCGAAACCCACGACCAGGATCAGCCAGGGGACCGGTGACGTCATCGCTGACACCGGAGAGAGTCACGTGACCTGGTCTGATGAAGGAATCGCAGGTGAATTCACTTGCGCACGAGCCGTCATGAAGATCCTGCGTGAGGAAGAGGAAGGGAAGGGTAATTTCCTCCCGTCATACAACCCAGAGGAGTCCGACTCGGGATTGGACGACTTATCTGTCCGCTCTCAGGACACCACAGTGTTTAGCTTGGATAATGTTTCCGACAGCGGGGCTTCGCTACCCCCTACCCCACTGCCACTTACTCCGGTGTCACCTCCCACCCCCCAGCCCACCACACCAGTCAACGGGCAGACCAATGGCAATCCAACAGAAGACGAGCTGGAGTACCACGCTGGGGTGCTCGTCCAAAACGCCATACAAAATGCCCTGGCGGCTCAGAACGGCGGAGAATGGCAGCCACTGGATTTGGATTCTTCACAGTTCAGCACTCCAGTGTCTCCATCCTCAGCTTCAACCAGTAGTCCAGTGCCAGTTTCCTTCTCCCCTGTGTCTTCTGGTGGAGCTCCAAGTCTCCAGTCGCCTGTATCCTCCAGTCCAGCTCCATCCAACCCGTCCCCTCAGCCAGAAAGGCAGCCAGAGGTGAGAGTCAGTCCCGAAGAGAAACCGTCAGAATTGCTACAGACTCAGCAGCCACAACTCCAGACGCCTTCCCCACCAGCATCTCAGACTGTCTCACCCCCGCAAAGACCCAAAGAAGGAGGCCCCAGGATCAAAATCCAGTCCTCTTATGCCAGGGCGCTTGCTTCCTCATCTCCGGCTCAAGCTCCTGCCTCAACAGCTCCCGTCTCGAGGCCAACCCCAGTTTATCGCCAACCTTCTCCTCCGAGCCCGGAGAAACCGGAGTTCAGCTACTTCAGTAAGTACTCCGAGGCAGCCGAGCTGCGTAGCACGGCGGCCGCAACGCGATGCCCAGAGCCGGAGGCGGCAGCTAGCGGTCCGTTCCGCCTGCGCTCCAAGAAGCAGCGAACTTTTTCCATGATTGAGGAGGAGATTCGAGCGGCTCAGCAGAGGGAAGAGGAGCTAAAGAAGCAGAGGGAGACGGTGCCTGTGGTTAATGCCCGCCCCGGCAAGGCCTCCAGCAGCAATCATGGACCTGCGAGGACAGGGATGAAGAAATCAACCATTACTCCAGCAGATAAGATGAAGAGCAACAGTCTGCCAGCTAGACTCACACTGACAGCGAAGACAGCACCAGGTTAAATGTTTAAAAAATAAAAAACTTAACGTGATCGTGCCACTTCAACAAACTTGTCTGACTCTTTGTGATTTTGTGTGATTCGCAGGAAAGATCGAGAAGGTTCGTCCAGTGCCGCCGGTCTCGCCCTCACCCTCTGAGGGAGCCCTGTCTGACGCCGGCAGCGAGGACTCTGGGGGATCACGACCCAAGAACTACATGCAGACGCTTATGGAAGACTTTGAAACACACAAGGTGAAGAGGAGGGAGAAGATAGAAGACAACAGTGTAAGTATTCAGAGCTGAAGAGGATAAAGGACAAGTTTTACATGTCAACCATCAAAAATCACAACAATAAATCACAAGAAATACATTTTTGTAGGTCGGCACAATTGTTAACATTATTTTTTGTCATTTCCTCTTGAAATGTAAAAATATAACACTGCTATATCCCCAAGAAGTATGAATGATTAACATCTTGACATTCCACCTAGATGATGAAATATTTCTCAGTTAGTGAAAGTAGCACAAAGTGGTGGCTTATAATGACTTGTCATTTGAATTTTGTAAAGTCAGCATATATTCCATTATGACTTGTTGGTATTAGGAAATTCTGTGCAACACCAAAGGGAGTTTCCCCGCCTGAAGCAAAACAGAATACACAGGACAATAGTCACATTTATGACCATGATCCATGCAAAGCCTATGCAAAGACATCGTGCTTGAACTGATCATGTTGCAGTGCTCTGTGTTTTCTCGCTGCTGGTGTTGTTGATTGTTTATCCATGATCACATGTGTTGACTTTGTGTACTGTTGCTTCTCTCCTGCTGGTCGGTCAGTATGCCCGTTTGCTGCTGGCTAACGAGGTAACCACTGAGGTACCTGTCGCTCCCCAAACCCGTTCACTCCGTCCACTCTGTTTACATCCACAGACCTGGGTCAGACTCCAATCAAAGAAAACCTCTACTGTATGTCGTGGACGGTTTCTGCACAGTTTAAACACTTCCATAACAGAGTAGCTTCGTATTCTGAGAGGTAGCATCTCACTGTTTCCATGGCAGTTTTTGTCTTGTCATCTCAAGTCTAGTTCAGTTTTAGGAGTGGAAATGAAAGAGGTTTAAATCTTCTAGAAATGAAACCGCTGCAGATAATATAAATGAGAATGTGAAGAAAACCTAAATCTGTTTCTGTCTGGTCCCAGGTCTGCTTGTGGTCTCACTGCTTATTGTTTTGTGGTGTTGGTGCTGCATGTGCCTGTCCATTGATGTGTACACACACACACACACACACACACACTTTGGCTTATATATATCTTCTTCTTTATATACAGTCTAGTGATCATCAATGTGAGGTCTTATTTACAAATGAGAGCATCAATGCTTCCGTTACCAGCTACTTAACTGGACTCAGTTTAATGAGAATCCTCCTCCATCATTTTAGATCATCATCCTCTGTCATGTCAGATCTCAGCATCGCACCTTTTACCCGCATCCACTTCACCTTCACCTTGATTCCTGCTCACAGAGAAATGTTCCCCGTGTGTGAAGATGGGTGTTTGTAAGAGTGTGTGTGTGTGTGAGAGAAAGGAAGAGAGAGAGAGAAACGGTGTTCGAGGACTAAGTTATGAAACAGTTCTGGTGTTCAAGCATGATTCTTTTGCTGTAATTGTGAATATTAAATGTGTTTGTTTTTACTGTCAAATGGTGCAGGTGCGCTTCATTTTGGTTTTTATTTCAACAAATGTGGCTCAGACGTGAAACCGTCATTGTGGGACGACCTAACCGAGCGCTCCTTCAGTGTTTGACATCCACTGCATGTCTCCTAAAGTCACTGTGGTGTGTTTTGTTTTTGTGACGGAACAGAGCATGGGTTTAAACGACTTCTTAGCTCGCAGCAAAATGAACGTTCGCACGTCTGATTGGATGTTTTGTGTTCGTCAGGTTCTGGAGGCCACTCGTGTCACCAGGAGGAAAAGCGACATGGCGCTGAGGTGGGAAGCCGGCATCTATGCCAATGAGGAAGGAGAGGAGGAAGAAGAGGAGGAAGAGGAGGAGGAGGAAGAAGAGGAGGAGTGAAGCGGCTCCTTTTGAGAGACAGTTAAGGGACTTGGGTGGAAGGAGGAGAAAGAGGAGGATGAAGGAAGAAACAGGAGGAGAAAGGACTAAGACAGGAAGGAACAGTATTTATTTTACTCATAGTATTCTGATGATCACGTGAACCGCTGCCTTGACCGATGGCGCTCATGGAGGAGATGGATTTTTGGACCTGACGACTGAAGAGGAGAACGTTAAGAGACGAAGAATATGTGACATTTGAAGTGTTGCAGTGAGTGATGCAAGAGACACTCTGAAAGGGTTTTATGGTGGTTTAAGAACGTTCTGCAGAGGCTTATATGGGACAGAAGGTTTTTTATTAGCTGGTAGACGCTGAATGACTTAAGTATTCATAGGATTTTTCACTTTCTTGATGAAATGCGGGCTGAGATCTAAAGATTTTATTACGACAGGTTGCCTGAGACTTGATGAGAATGATGGTTTTGGCAATGTGCGCTTGATGAAAACCCCCAGTGATCTTTAAAATGTGTGAGAAGACGATGCAGAAGAGGAGCGGGTGTATGCAGAGTGAAACTCAGACGTGTTTTCTGGATTTTGGGACGTATAATCGCGACCTGGTTTTGATGATACTGCGGAGAGGATTTGATGTTTGACAGGATTCTTACCCGAGCATCATTTTCCGAACCCGTAAAGTTTTAACGGCCTGTATCCTGCGGTGCCACAGCCCGTCACAGACAACAAGTCGCTCTGAGCTTTCCTTTTCAAGCACAGGCATTAAATCTCAAGTGGCCACTTTAAGGCCACTGCACACTAGAGGATAATTGTGGTAATTTTAGACTCGATTTGCCCCTTTCCCAACTGGACGTGACTCTGTGCCGATTATCTGCCCAAATAATCCTCAAGTGAGGAGTTAAATGAATCTTAATGCTACCGGTTGAGTCTGAGCCTCCCTGATCATATCATGTTTGATATGTACGGTTCCGACAGAAACCCTTAATACAATAGAGAGCATTGGTTTTCTTCTGAAGTCATGTTTAATCACCAGTTCAGAAGGTGGCGGTAATGCGCCTAAAAGGCGTTTGCCAACTGCAACCGGACTGAAGAAGAAGAAATTGCAAGTTTCTGTGAGATTTGAAGTCTCTGAAAATGGCCACAATCAGTTTAACTTGTCATTCTGTCTGTGGTTTCCCACGTTTTTAAGATCAGTCAAGTTAAAAATCCTCTCGTGTGCAGCAGCTCTTTAGCGTCAGCCTCCTTGAATCATTACAAAGCCTGCGAGGAAACCTGCGAAACGAGCGTGGAGGTGCAACTTTGCCTTAAACCTGTCAGTTAAAGGTTGAACGCATGACACGTATGATGTATTTTATCCTCTCCTATCCTGTAATACTATGTTTTTGGTAGACGTTAGAGAAAATACGCAGCCAGATATAAACAAAACACAATTCTTCAGTGTACAGGAGGAGACGGGCCGGGGGAAAGGGAAGCTAACTGCAGGTTATGTTTGTGTCAGTATGTGTTGAATAAAGAAAGGGCTGGGTCCAGGGTTTTATATACTTAAAAAAACACACTTATTTTACCTTCGCTGGCTCCGTCGACCTGTGCTTTCTGATGTAAGCAGTTGTTTTCATGTATTATACCGAGGTAGGACTGTGTATTTGATAAATGATCTAGCTGAGGATGAAGTTTGAGGAAAAATATTGAGGAAAAAAAGCTTTTTATAAGAAAGTTGTTATACCAAAACCGAATGTTGATATTTTAGAGAGAAACAAACTGTCGTCCTGAGCTCTTGAGTCTATTTAAGAAAATAAAAGTACAGATTGTGTGCATGGCATTACGCGCGTTTCCTGAAACAAGCACACGACAAGACGCAAACAGACGATCAGTAGCAACGGGCTGAGCAGACGTCTGTTCATTTTACTTTCTGCAAGTCGGGGTTGTCAATTTTTTTTAAGCGAATATATTGATTTTGCAGAATGACGTGATTTTGTGTTTTGTTAAATGGACGAAAAAGAGAGTGTGATGATACTGTGGAATGTCCCGATGTAGAAAACTATGTTCCCGTTTCAAATGAAATCACGAAACACAATCAGAATAAGTGAGAATTAAAAGTAGAAATGTAGTTGCGGTGTTTCTAAACCACTTTTCAGTCTTTATTTTGAAGCCTTCTAGATTATTATCCAGGATTATGATATCAGGAGTTTTTACTTCCTGTATCTCAGAGGTTAAAGTTTTGATCAAGTGTCCTTCAGCAAGGCCCGGACCTCTCTGTCTGCTCACGCTGAATAAAATCCAATAATAAATGTCTGAAATTCAAAAGAACCCTTGAGTAAAGAAATCGATTGCAGGATGTGTTCTATCACTTGATCACAATTATTCTGTATTGTATTTATAGGAAAAGTCCCAGTTGGCAAATTACGCCACTTGATTTTGTTTGATGAAAAAACCCCTCACTGTGGTTCCAGAGAATCTTCCTTGTTCTTGTTTTTATAAACTACTAATAATATATAAAACTGGGGAAAAAGTATTTAAAGGTAAACGACAAGTGTGTTTTTATGGGAATGTAAAGGAAAGTGAGTTGTTGAGCTCACAAATGAAACAAGACAGTTCTGTGTTGCTGATTCTTTCGCCACAATATTAATCTAGGATTTTCCAGACATGACTCAAGCTTTCAGACATCTTTTTTTTTTTTAAAAGCACGTTAGTCATTTCGGCTTTTGTAGTTTTCCAAAGAGACATTTTAAGTTGAAATGTGAGCTTTTATTTCCAGGATGAATAACGGATCCTTCGTGATGAATGATTGTTTTACTGTGGCCTATTCTGGATCCGAGCTTCCACTCAAAACTTAATTCACAGCACAATTTGTTGCTTTTAATTTCTGCAATTCTCACTAAACATGTTTGGAAAGGTAACAGACATCC